CAACATACCACATACACTACACACATATAATATATAGTCAAAAATACTATATATTACTATAACATATATATAGTACATCATGATATATTTATATATATATAATACATATAATATATATATATAGATACTATATTACCATATTTAAAAAAAAATATAGGGTGATATATATATCATATAATAATATATATACGTACCCTATAAGGTACTACGCCCCATATACATTATTACATATATATACTATCACATATACAGTATAGTACACATAGTACATATACATATATATATATAATATACATATATACTATACTATCACAATACATATACATATTATACATAGTATACATATACATACTACAGACATACATATATTATATATATATATATCATATATATATTACAATATATATATACTCATACGTATACATTATACATATATATATAATATACTACACATATATATACACATATATATACTATCACAGTATATATACCTATACTAGTTATACGCGTGGCACTATACATTAGCGCTACGTATATCACGGGGCTATACCATATATATACCACGTATAACGGTCACTGTCACATATCAGTGTTATCGCTACCTAGTACCGGCTAGTCACTATATAACACATATACTCACTATATACCGCGGGGTACTCTGGCGCGGGTATACCACCAGTATATGCACGTACTATGCCAGCTGAGGCACGATACGACATGGATATTACCTACTATACACATATAACCTACATTACTACGTATACACATAGGTGACTGAAGTATACTATACTACGTATATACACACATATAGTTATTAGCTATCCCACACATATTACTACTAGTAGTATAGCAACCTCATATATATCATATACCACCACATATATCAGTATTATACTACACACACATATATATACCTATCATATGAGGTATACCAATAGTAGCCCGTTATATAATAGAGCTATATATAGCCCTATAGTATATATATATAGTATAATAACCTGATACATATACTATACACATACACACACAGCACCACAGCACCCACTGATCAGCCATACCACAATTGTGACAACCGTGCGGACCCTGGTAGTCACAATGCCCCCTATGCCAGCCCATGCAACACAACAAACTGCAACTGCACTGTGTTTCTGCGGACAGCTCACCATCAAAACTAGCCATTGAGTTTTTTTTCGCACATTGGAGCTACAGTTAGCTCCTCTGTTTGATCGGAACACGGGCCAGCCTTCCTCTAGCGATGCACCAATGAGCCTTTGCTCTGGTTACCGCTTTCCTTCCCTGGAGCACTTTTTGGATAGGTACTGACCACTTCAGACCGGGAACACCCCACAAACATTGCAGTTGTTGGAGATCTCTGCACCAGTCGCTAGCCACTCACACGTTTGATCCCATGTCAAAGTAGCTTCTCACACCTGCCCATTTTTCCTGCTTCTAACACCTCAACTTTGAGGACAAAAGTCACGTTGCCTGATAGTATCGCACCCACTAACCAGGTGGCAATGATAAGCAATTACGTGTTGGTCACTCACCTGTCAGTGGACACAATGTTTATGGGTAATATTGGTGTCATATGTATGCACACATTTGAGTGTATACACTCCCACAAATAAGCAGACAGAAGCTACCAGTCTTGATCTTCTTGAGTCTTCTCACACTGCATCCATCATCCCCCTTCAATCTCACAGACCAGATGTTCAACGTCAAACACAAAGGAACTCAATCCTTCGGCAACTGTTAGATGGGGGGGGAGGCGTGATCACCAGAGCACGAAAACAATCTGCCATACAGCCTCTCCATAAAAACAACCCCTGACCCACTTTGATATTTATAGGACCTCTGAAGCCCATGTGCACGGCCGTGGTCAGTGTGAATGTGCTGCTATATATATATATATATATAGATTTCACATGGTAGCTGTTTTGATCAATACATGTTCCAAACTATTATTTTTAGTGTGGGCTGCAGAAATAAGTTCTATTTAAAGAAACGTTATCAAAAAAACATTCCATGATTTCTGAAAACACTGACACACTGTTGGATAGCAGTCAAAACTTCAGGAGTATGTTGTCCAGCTGCAATTCTGTATCATGAAATGATCAGTAATGAGAAAGCATACATTTTCTGTAATCGTATTTGTGTTGCAGTTGACAGTTAGGCTTATATTTATTATTGATCGATCATTATTGCCATTTCTGGTTATTAGTTTTCTGCGCTTCGACTAACTGATGAATTAAATATTCTTTGGAAGACATACTTTGGTAAGCCAGAATGACATTATTTTCTCAGGAAGTACAACCAGCTATCACGAGAGCATGCAGCTTGAATTCTTGAAATGGCTCCGTTCAGTGTTTGTTTGCATTGCTGTCCCCTTCGGCTTTTTTTCACTGAATGGTTCCACTGAGGTATTTGGACGGGCTGTTAGCAGACAGCAGACATTTCACAGAGAGAAGACATACATGGAAGTGTTCCCCTGCAGTCATAACATATCACAGTCGAACATACACCCACATACAGATGGCACAGGAGATTTAGTGAGGCTGCCACATGCTGCAGCTTTTATGTGGGGAAGATGTTCCTTCAAACATTTGTTCTTTGTGATTTTTCTTAATCCAGAAAATATAGTACACATTGGCTTTAGCCATTTGTTGATCAGTGTTGAAATGTTGACGTTTCCAGTTTCCTGTCATTGTCTTGTGGCATGTATTTCCTTGTGGTGAGCTTTTTAAAGTTACAAGCCACTGCTGTTCTGACTTTACAAGAAAATATTTAGTCATATATTTATGTTTATCAGAAGGCAGCTGCATCATTGCTGCCTCTGGTCAGTTTAGGGTTGAGCGAGGATGGAAAGGCAACTGTACAAATAATTGTACATTTACACAATTTTGAACATATGGTAATACTGTTAGTAGTAAGTGCTTTGTTAATAAAATACTATTTTAGATATAGTGAACAATAATAAGACATAGGTACACTTTTCTCTTTTCACCATAGTGGATATGTAACATTGTAAAAACTGACTATAATGTTTTCTCAGCATAACACAAGTAGCACTCAAGGCTGGATTCCAGCTAAGGTGAGCTTGACTAACCAGCTTTAATTAGATTCTTAGGAAGAACCTTTTAACCTTTGTTGTTCATTATTATGGAAATAATATAAATGAACAAATTTGGTGTTGCAGATCAAAGGATATTGTGTTTGTTTGAGTTGCAAGGAAACTTTTGTCGAGATTTATGACTTTATGATTTTTTTTTTTTTTTTAAACGTATGTGATTGGGTCTGATGGGGCAGAACAGATTAACACCTCTCACTTCCTCTTCATATTTGTCTCCTCCCTCCCCCCTCCCCCCCTTCACCCAGACATCATGAAGTCAGAGGAGAGGCAGAAACTTGCCAAGGAGCGGAGAGAAGAAAAGGCCAAATATCTTGGTAAGTGGAAAAAGGGTGGGAGGACCAGTCTATTACATAGGAAGAGAGCTCCCCCTAGTGTTGGGGTGAAAGAGGTTGCTGTCGTACTGAGTCAGTTTTGTCGCTACTGGGTTGGCTCTAGGCTGCAGATGGCATGCACATGTAGCACAGGGAGGATAAAAGGGTAGTTTGAGCTTCTGCACAAAAGTGTCTGAAATCAGCAAAAGCCAAGCCACCATTTTACCAAAGAGAAGTAAGAATCCGTTTTCCACATGCATGCTGAAAGGAGCGGTGTCAAAACATTTGCTTATTGTATTTATTTTATTTGTTTATCTTATTGTTGGTTTGACTAATATGCACAGTAGCTCACCTCTGCACTAAAATGTACATTAATAAAATTTGAGTTTAATAGAGATATTCTTCACACACAGTGTTGGACAAATGACAAAAATGTACAATTTCTTTTATTAGTTAATAAAGTTAACTACTTTGACAATCTTGCAGCTTTTTGCAGTGTGATGAATATCTCTCATGACTTAACGTCGTTTGAAATGTGTTCAATGCAACAACACTGAGTCATCAAAGGATGTAAGCCTACTACATTTGAACCCAACTTGAATTGATGTGCTTTGATCAATTGGTGCAAAATTTCAGTGCTTTTCACTTGGTCATCATAACAGTTGACATGGCTGTACTTTTATTTCAGCTGATATTGCATCGCTTGCCCGAATCCTTTTTTTTTTTTTTTCTTTTAACACATGGCTGTCACATTGTCTCTTGGCTATACCCTGGTCGTACACTGCTTTGCATGATTGACAGTTGCCTCTGTCTTCTCTCTCACCCCTTCCCTCTGCAGAAGAGCTCAGCATGTTACAAGGTAAGCCACCTATGTGTATGTGGTGGTGGTGGTGTCCCTTTTCGATCATTCTGTTAAAATTGGATGTCTCAACCTAATGAAGTTCAGTAGTTTTACCTAGTGTTGGGCAATAAACCGAAAACATATTAATATAGAGATATTACGAGTCATTGACCAACCTAGCTCATGCTGTTATGTCCCCTAAAAATCATATTGAGTCACATTCTTTGGCCTCCTCTCTCCTTCATTTCACCTCTTACCTTATAAGAAAGTAGCATGTAAAATATTTAGTGCCAATGCTAATTCTTCAGTAGTTCAGCCTGTTTTGAAAAGTGAAAGACTGTACATATACGATTGCCAACAATATTGAGTTTTGGTCATATTGCCCAGCCCTAGTGCTGTTTCATTCATTTAATCCCCATAGTGTTCTTTGTTTTAAAATCTTGGTTGTTGCATTTTTTGTCATCACAGAAACTTCAGCTTTCTCTCTCTAAACATCATTAATGTGTCTTTTGCAGAAATCATGTAGGCATAGAAACTCATTCATCTATCTGTAAATAAGTATTATTGATTTGTAAAGGTTCTCACTTCACATATAAGGAGATGTAACATGCCCTGACTCTGAACTTTGTCCAGCCACACGTCCAACTACGCACACCACAGAGGATTTTGTATTTAAAGATAACATGTTTGAACCACATACCGCAAAACTACTATGATTACCATCTTACTGGAGAAATTGGAGGTTTTAGAGATGCTTGCAGCCAGATTTATCTTGGCTGCGAATTTACATCTAAACAGCTTTATATTGCCAAACACAAAATCACACAGTTCAAAGTTTTATGAAGTTCAAAAATATTTAAATTAGTTTTGACTTACAGAGCTGAATAGAAAGGTATTTTCACGACGTAGAATTTTTTTCATTGAGCCATGGTAAACTCACAGGGTACTGTCAGGGTGGTTCTTAGACATACCCTGTTTATGTTCTTTATTACCTTTAAAGCTAGAGAGAAATTGATAAAATGGAGTGTGAATATGTTATCTTGACCCCAGTTTCATTAGGTATTCTCAGATCTATATTAACACTTGAGACCACAATATATTTACCACATTTGGACATTTCTAAATAAAATATAGAATTAATTCGTAATCATGACACTGATTTTTATTTTTAAACTGCCGTACTCGTACTTTCAGTAACGCCATGTTGTCTAATCCCACTGTGTGTTCGACAGCAGTAAGATGACTTTGACACACTCCATGGATCAGTCTAATTGGGTGATCACCAGGGCATGCCAGATGGTATGGGGCTGATCTAATACTCTCAGTCAGACCTGGATAAAAGATGAGATCCTGGCAAAGCCCATGCTTACAATACCAGCTTGAAAGAGATCTTGTCAACCATCAGCAGTAGTACTACTAGTACTAGTCGGTAGTAAAAAGGGGCACAATTAAAAAATCCTTACACATCCTAGCTTGTGTCTTGTTGGTTCCTTGTTATGTGAAAGACTTGCATCAGGGAAATGGCTACAGCTGCACAGAAGCTACTCCCCTGCCTTGTCTGTCATTGGCTTGATGGTATAAATACTTCATGTACCAGGGTTAGAGCAACACTCTGTTTATGACTATTTAATGATCTTACTATACTAGGTCCCAATGCTACTTGTCAGCACTGATCACTGTCAGGAGCCAGCCTTGAGGAATGCATTTTAAAGCAATGTCATATTAAGAATTTCACATTTGTTCATCACGTTACTATCACAAGCCGCTGCCTACATGCAGAAATGACTGATGATGAACAGCACTCTGAGAATTGTATTTAAATCATGAGCTAAAATCATTTAGACCAACTCTCTACATAGTTTGGTGACAGCACCAAGCTACCAGCCAGTTTCCAGTTCATTTTCCTTCTTGCAACCAGCACCTATAGTCTGGAAAACCACCAAAACGCTTCAGTTGAATGGGTCAAATTAAAATTCAATTCAATCAGCAACTGTCAGACATTGTCACAGACTTGTGAATGTGCTCGGAAAGAGTGGACGGAGTCGTTTGACAGTAAGTATGTGAACTAAAGGTTTTCTTTGTGAGGAGGGAGGAAATGTTATGGATGTGGAAAACTGTAATCCATCTCAGCAAGCCTTAAGCATTGTATTTGTATGGGGGTGAAGCTTCGACCTCCCTCTCATCACTGAGTGAACAAGTGAATTATGAAGCAGTTCCCACTGCCCTTAACTTACAGTACCATCTCTATTTTGTATCACTGGAAGGTAAAGATGTGGCTTCTTTCAAATCGAAGGCATCAAGCTGATATGAGCTGAGATTCGCACTGCAGCAGATATTTTCTATGCCGCAAGGTGCTGGCAAGCAGTGCCTCGGTATAACTCAGCTTTTTGTTCCCTTCTGAGATAAAAGCCGAGCTGTGTGCCTCCCAATAAATTTTAACTACTCTAGCCTCCAGCATGTCTGCAATGATCCGTCCCCATAATCTGAAATCCACAACCAGTTGCTTTTGTTGCATCAAGTGCTTTAGAGAACTAAGCCTTGCCTGCTTGCAGAGGCTGATTCTTCATGGAGGTTTTACTTTGTAGTTTAAAGAAATATGGTGAGTTGTGTACACAGAGAGGCAGCTGCAAAAGGCTTCTTTACGCCCTCTTTGAAAGGCTCAGGGACAAGGCGACGATTTCCATATCAAAGTGTGTGGTTTATTGAAACTGACGTGGAGGCCTGATGCGATTAGTGTGGTATAAAAGTGTCACTTCAGAAGTACTGTATCTGTCTAACTCGGCATTATGCAGTATTCTGTGGAAAAGTCAAGTAATTGAATTTATATCTCTAAACACAAAGCACGATTGAGGTAAAGGGCAACACATTTTTTTTTTTCCAAAGGCCGCTTTAGATTTAAAGTAAACATCACAGAGCCTTGAATTTTTTGGATATTTTCCTCAAGCTTCAAACAGGATTTTTTACTTGAAAATCTTCAACCTATTACTCAAAACAGATGCAGACCTTTCAAACAGAATGTGTGCTATACCTACAGTATTCTGAGAGAGAGATGGCTCCTTTGTCCAGTCACCTTTAGGTAAAATCTTACTGTCTTGACCGTGATTTCTGTCACATCTTAGCTGCTAAAAAGACCCAGTGGCTGGAGAAGGAGGAGAAGGCACGGCAGCTGAGGGAGCAGCAGCTGGAGGAGCGCCGCAGGAAGCTCGAGCAACAGCGAATCAAGGCAGAAAAACGGCGAGCCGCCCTGGAGGAAAGACAGAAACAGAAACTGGAAAAAAATAAAGTACGTTTGAATGAGAACACAAATAATCCATTAATTGTTTGATAGTGTTGTACTTTTGCATTGATACCTGGAGGTGAAGTGAATGCCTTCCCTCACTGGAATGGCAGCTGAATAGGGTCAATTGCGGATGAGGTAATCTAGGATTTTGCTCAAGGTCACCTAAGCAGGGCTAGGTGCTTGAATCCAGGCTTTTCAGGATGCCACCTGGTTCTGCAATGTGTCATGCCTTTGATGGGTGAGATATTGAAAATGCCTGATCTATTCCTGAATCCTTTCAGGAGCGCTATGAGGCAGCCATCCACAGGTCAACCAAGAAGACTTGGGCAGAAATCCGCCAGCAAAGGTGGTCCTGGGCTGGCGCTCTAAGCCAGAACTCCAGCCAGAAAGAAAGTAAGTATACTGATCCAATCTGGATAAACATCCTCCTAAAATAACACCTGAAAGACCCCCTTGTAATCACCTAAGATTCATATCGCTAATAAGAGGCAGTTGGGTTAAGTTATCCTGCTGGATAACGTACAACCACTTACTGGCTATACATTCTGTCTGTTGAGGTTTTTATTCATCATTACTGGTTCTTGAGTTTCACTGCCATTAACCTTTTAAGTCCATTAGAGGAAAATTATTTTAACATCAGTTTGCGGTCATGCAGCTCAGTTTTCACTGAGGATCATTACAGCTGACTAATGTTTTTGCAGAGGTTTCTTTAAGGGACATTAGGCTTGTCCATCAGTTGTCATCATTGTGCTGTCATAGATTTGTAAAGGAAGATATATAAGTTATGTTATTTTCATTATTGAATGTCTTTTTTCAATGAACCATTTTGTCTGTAAAAATGTCATAAGATAGTAAGCATCCCAATTTAATTTTCTTTTTTTTGCAAAATTGATGGCTTAGTTAGGTGTACAGTGTTCATGCTCACTGCTGACGTTGGCAGGTGCACAGTCAGGCATGCTGCCCAAAAGATTTGGACAGCACCAGAGGTTTTGCTTTGTCATATCTTAATCTGATGTGTCTTTACTGCATCAGTCACACTCCTCCATCAACACAATTTTCTCAGATTTTTTTTTTTTTAGCTACTGTAGCTCTGTCCTAGCAGGCTGTTTGCTTTTTAAACATTACTTCAGCATCATTAGCCTCTAATCGTGACCAGACTGTATTGATCGCACAAAGTGAAAACGTGTTCAGCTGCTTTATTGCAGCAGTTGCAGTAAGCTCTGTTTTATTGACCAGCATGTTGTCAAATAATGCTTAATTTGAATTGATAAATGTCCTGACCGCTGATATATCCAGAGTCTGCAATGACTGCAGAGGCTACATAACACTGTAGAAATGATTTTTCAACCATGCAGCTTGATGGACGCTTCTGTCCCTTTGTGCCATACTCCCGACTTGAAGCTCTAAATCTGAAGAGTTCCTAGTTCTGTCTTATGTCATGTAATCGCCTCTGCCATATGCCAGGGGAATTATTGACTCTTTAATCAATCTCTCACTTCCTTCCTCACTCACCAGCCTGCCGTCTGTCAGATGATGGAAGTAAACAAGCCTAAACAGGCTGCAGTGGAATGGCTGAGAGTTTGGGATGTTACTTACGAAATGTTCCAAAGTGCCCGTCTTGGCTTCTGTCAAAAGTGCATACTGCCTCATCCACGACTGCAAAAAGACTGCTTTAATACTGAACCTCCGTTTATGTTCATTATGTTCTCTGCATCATGTCTGACGACATTTGGGAAAAGAGCACAGTGTTGATTGCAGTGTATTAAAAAGGATATAGACTTGGGATAGATGCAAGTATTGCACATGAATGGTCTCAAGGATTCAAAGTTTTGCCCTTTATAAAGTGCCAGTTCACGTCATCAACCTTGTAATGAGTATATGTTTCCCCGCAGCCTCTTTCCATCACTTGTTTGGTTGTTAAGGTTATTTTGAGTCATCTCTTCTTGTTCATTGGGTGTGTTGGTAGCTTTAAAAGATGTTTAAAGGTTCTTCTTTAGTGTGGTTGATATGCTTTTTTGGGCTTGTATTGTTATGAAGACCTTTTAGAAGAACCTTTTTATAAGGGCCATTTCACCATTTCAGCTAATGTACTTTCTCACTTACCTGAATGGAGTTAAATTTGAACATTTAAAAAACGCCTAAATTCCATTCAGCTCAATTGTATTGAGGTTTAGGCAAAAATCTCACTGACAAATATCTTGTTTTTATTATCTTAATTATTAAAAGTACTATAAAAATAGTGTATAATTTTTTTTATAGTATATCCCAAAACCTGGGCAAATAAACCTGCAATGCTAAATACTACAACAAGTAAGTGAGAAAATAAGTGGTTTGTAATTTGGGTGAACTGACCGTTAAAAATTGTAGCCTTTGAGACATTCAGAAACACAGATGCCCACCTACACACTTACAGGCTAGCAGACTGTAAAGCAGTGGACGTATTATATACACGTTCAGCACACAGGAATTTGCTTTAATGGGGGATCGCTCACGTTACAGATCCGTTAGTTAACAGCGTGTGGGTGTATGTTTGTAGAGGCATCATTCGACCGTAACGCATGACGCCACAGAAGGTCCAATTCTTCCTCTCAACCATGTGACTTGTGTGAACATCTGTGTGGCGCTCTCTTGGCTTCTTAGGCAGATGCTCTGTGTCAACGGTCAACCTGCCCAAACACGTGGACTCTGTAATAAACAAGCGACTGTCCAAGTCCTCCGCCACGCTCTGGAACTCCCCCAGCAGAAGTAAGGCAACATGTGGAATGCCCCTTCCTCCCGTTGATTTGTGTCCATCACTCTGCCACCGCCAACACCTCCGAACCCGTCCATCATTGTCCTCTTTTTTTTTTTTCAGTTCTTCCCCTTTCTGATTTCAGTCCTGCTCTTGTGCTTGATGGTTGACAGCTGATCCATTTCCATCTTCCAAAACCACTGAGTTCTTTTTTTTTTTTTTTT